CACTCCTCTCAGAAGCTTGCAGTGAATCAACCCTCTCTGCCCCTCTCTGGGGCCGGAAATACCTCCTGGAAACTTCCCTCCTCCCATCTGGAGTGAGAGGCAGCTCCAGAAGTGTTGCTGTGATTCCTTTTTCTTTTCTCTGGTCTCCAGCTGCAGCCTTGCCATCTGCTTATGCTGTAAGCTCTGTTTACTTTCATTTTCCCTCTCTGTTACTGCCAGCCACTCTTCCTCCCTTAGTCTCAGCTGCCCAGCACATAAAGCACCCCAGGGGCTCTGTTTACTCTTTCACTCCTTCACAGTATTCAGCAATCATGATGTTGCTAATCAAACTTTGAAGAAATTACAGAAAGAGAAGCAGGGGAAGGAAAATGCACTTTTATTGCCAGGAGAAACTAGATGGGGCTCAGCTACAAACTACTTACATGGTTTGTTATGCAAAAAGAACTTTTTGCAGTGAACTTCAATAGATGACACAGTATCCCAGATTATTTCCGTGAGCATTCAGAAGCAGATTATTGACACCCTTGTATTCTGCATTTGTTTTCAAGAAACATTCAATTTGCTACTACCAGTTTCAGTGGTTATCAAGAAACTTGAAAGAGATACAGCAAGCCTTTCAAATATTCCAGAGATATTCAGGCAACTGAATGAAAATCTGATTGAGCTTTTGCCTTCTTCAACTCTATCCAAAAAAGTAGTAGTAAAACAAATGTTTACTAAGAGATCCGAGTTTGTTTCTCATCCAGTTCACTTGACAGTAAACCTTTTGGATCTTCAACACAAAGGACAACATTTATCAGAAGATGAATTATCTACTGCTCTCAGTACAATTATGGAAGTAGCTAAAAATGTCCCCAACATCGATGAAATAGCCATGGTGACAGACATTGCCAAGTACTGCACAAAAGAAAAACTTTGGAGCAAAGACATCATTTAGCAGTCAGCAGAGAATATGTCTCATCTTACATGGTGGAAGGAATACTGTAACACCTGACTGTTGTCCAGGTTTGCTCTAAGGATCCTAAGCATTCTACCAACAGCAGCTTCTTGTTAATGGAACTGGAAGGCTTTCAGCTCAATCAAGACAAAAAAGAGGAATAGACTAACAAATGAAGGCACCACTAAACTTTTTCTATTTTTCAAAATCTCTTGCTTCTGGAGAATCAGTCAGAAGCATAATTAATGAAGAAGATGCAGTGTGATGATAAGTCCATAGATTCCTTGTCCATAGACTCATTGGTAAAACCATCCTTCAGCAAAAGAGAATGTGATTCAAGTAGTTTTGAATCAGATTTGCCTCAATCTGACTCTGAAGTGGAACTAATAAGTACTGCAACTGATTCTACCGATAGTGACAGTGAAAGTGGAGGTGGTACAATGATCTCAGTGGAAGAGAGTTAAACTCTGTTGAGAGAGATGAGTGGACAACCACGGCATATCATACAGTTCTTTGAGTGAGCTAAAATTAGTGTGTCAACAGCTTTCAGTGCCTTCATTTTTTTTCCCTTAAATTTAAACAAACAATATAAAGGAAGTACATGCTATTGTGTATTGTCTTTACATTTTACAATCATTCCAATAAAAATAATTTCTTTCCATATATGGCTTTGAATTTGTTTGAATATAACATTAACAGCTCAAAAAAACTAATTAAGTAGCCCTCCAGCTCAAATAGCTGGCCAGCCCTGATATGAAGCATAGTAATATGTAAAAGTAAGAGACTTTAGCTGTGACTCAGAAGGAGCACTGGATAAGAAGGGAATGTAAATGGCTGATATTTCCTAGTTTAAATCCCACATCGTAGTGGGAAAAGAATATAATGTAACCAAAATAATTATTAGTAAATGTGATTTTTCATTGGACTCTCTCCTCTTCCAGCAAACTCTCAGGTGATTTTTCATCACATTTCAAATTAATTCCCTATTCTTGGATATGGTCCCAGATCAAAGAGAAAAAAGCAGCACTGTGCAGCTGAGAGGTGGCAGAAAAGCACTGTTTATAATTGAGGTCTTAAACTTGTTGTTTAAATTTCTGTTGGTAGTATAATCCACAATGCATGACAAACTCTCTCTTTCTCTTCCCTTATTTTAAGCATTTGTGAATAATTTGTGTCTGGTCTTTTCCCAATGAATACCACTCATATTGTCACAACATGCATCACCTTTCTGAAGGCAACATTCAAATAACCATAGTGACAAATTGTTCCTTTTATTGGTTTTAAATAGTGTAAATTAACTGGATACTTTATCACACTACTCATTACAATGATGCACTATTTTCCAATGATGCCTTGATGTACAATATGGGAGAGCGCAACAATAAAAGTGCTGGTCCAGTTGAAGTCACTGAAGTCATGGGAGTCATAGGTGCTTAGTATTTAACTGGTGAAGTCCAAGTTATGTAGAAAAATGTTCTTTTCTTCCCATTTGTGTTCTGAGATCACCAAACATAATCAAACTTAGTAAAGCTATATGGAATGACTAATTTAGACTAACAAAAGTGTTAAAAAGACCCAAAATTGCAATTCATACTAATAATTTTTTTAAAAATGTGGTTGCACTGTTATAGACTGTTACCTAAACAGCCAAGTAGTGCAGGTATTGTGAGCCATCATGCATACTGCATGTTAGCAGTTAACTATAAGAATATGTATGTATGACTTACCTTAACCCAGGATGGGGCTTGTGGTTCAGTCTAGTCCACCATTCACAAATACCTATGGGAGACTTATGGATGTAAATTGTCATTGCAAAATACAAGTTGTTGTTGTTTTTGCTTTTCTTATTAGTGATGATGATGATAATAGGCCAATACTTATCTGTAGAAAAGGTCATATTTTTATGGTGACAGTGGAGATGACGGCTTCCTTAAGAGGATATATAATTAATATGGCAGGTGTACTTTAACATTTTAAATGTAGAATTATACTAATTTGTTA